GCGCAAAAACGGTACGGGTTGGTTGCACCATGGAAGCATGCAGTGCAGGCTTTGCAGGAGAGGGTTATCTTACACCTGATTGCAAGGTTGTCAACGACTATTATCAATGTCAGTCAGTGTGAGGAAAGACGCAGACCAAGAAAAAACATATTGTTTGTGTCACCTGGGCTCTGTAGCTGGCTGACCCTCACCAACTTGAATTCTTCCACTCGAATCCTTCTTTTCTCCGAGCGGGGAAGGAAAACCAGGGTCTTGCTTTGCCTGAAAAGAAGTCCCTTCTTTGCTGGTCTTACCCGCTTTACTAAGAACAAAGGGCATCGCTACGAACGCAGCCAGAAGTAGCTCCTGGCCATACTACTAGTAACAAGAAGCTACGAGCGTAGCAGCTCTTTGCAGCAAAGGGCGCTAACTAGGCTACAAGGGCGCTAACTAGGCTACAAGGGACGAACACCCACAGAGGCCTTCTTCCAACCGGTCGTGCCAAGCGAGATCTACTTCGACCCTCGATCCGCAGAACATCGAGTCTGAAGGAGTTGAAGAAGGACGATAAAGAAAGAAAACCAAACGAAACAAGCATCAAAACAAGGAGGTTGCCAGGAATGTCCAGCTTAACCACCCAACAAAAAATGCTGTTTCGCATGTGTTGACCCACTCACCTTCAACAAAAGAGACGAATTTTTGCGTGGCACCTCATATACACCCGTCCCTCCAAGAAAAAAGCCGGGCCGCCCACGGCCGTCCTCATCGCCAACGGAAGAGAGTCGCTGAGGACCCGGTGAGCCTCCGTCCAGCGCATCCGAGCATCCGTTGTTTTTGTTGTGGTTTTTGTAGAGGTTCCACCTGTTGTAGGGCGAGCCTGAACGGAGAACGGCTGTTGTAGAAGCCTGAACAATCACTCCATCTATCGCTCCCTGGTTCCTTCCGAACTCGGCTCTCCGAAGCTCTCGCTATCGATCCCCTGGTTTGGTTTCGCTTCGGTCATTCGGGTCATGGGAGTCCCACAAGGTCACTGAAGCCTAGAAGAAGCCGGTCATGACTGGCGACTGGCTGGCCCGGCTGGCCCGGCTGGCCGAGGGCTTGCTCCTCTTTGGGGGGACGATCATCACCCAAGAGGAACCACCAAAAGGAACTGCTGGCCTCGGTCATATGGGATGAGTCATGTATATATCGTCATGCAATGCACTTCAAGGGGGGGTTGACACGAGTTGTCCACTGGACGAGTTGTCCAATTGCACAGCGATCTCACCAGGCGCTGAACCAGCTTTGAAGCGCACAAGGAAAGGCAAGAATCCTCATCCCAAACGCTATGAATGGTTCTTCCTTCGAAAGGATCAGAATAGACTAGCAAGTAGCAAGTCACATTCAAGAAAAAGCTGCTGCAAGAAAAGACCCAATATTTTTCGTGAAGCTTCCTACGGGATGTGATCAGGCTCGGACCAAAAATCTTTGACGCAGAGTCCAAGATAGGGCAGCCACGTGGTCACTCATGAGGTGCACCCTACAGTCAAACATGAGTGAAGATTGGTCAGAAGCCGCGACTAATATAGCCATGATGCCTTCGGACAAATACTGATTTGGGGATCACTTCACCTTTGAAAGGATCCAATGCATACTCATCCTCTTGAAAATTCCCGTGAACGCCTCTCCCATCCATTTGGTGACCACTCTAGTTGCTTCCGTCCACTCGCCCCACCATTGTGCCCACCACGTGTGGCACCACGTGTGGCACCTGGCGACCCAAAGGCCCGGCAGAAGTTGAATGACGTTCGCCATGGAGTCAACCTGGTAGACTCGAGGAGAGACCATGGGCCCCACACTGGGCCCCACACACGACCGGTGGGACTGCCATAGTTGCCATATTGTAATATTAGTATTAATGATCCCACAATAGATAGTGGTACGGTTCCAATACATTCCAATACATTTTGAGTGGGGATCTACGAACTTCTATCCCACATTGGGGGTATATTGGCCTGGTCAGGCCAGAAGGGAGTCTGTCTGGGGCGGTGTCTTCCACAGGTCGTGTCAACGGGTACGAAGCCAGCGACCAAGAGCTGGAAAGCGGCGAACCTTTTCTGAGGAAACCCTGGGGCAGCAAACTCCCAGTAGTGTTGGTGTTTTTGTTGTTGTTGTTGTTGTTGTTGTTGTTGTTGTTGTTGGTAGAGACAAAAACAGCTGCTCAACATAGTTGTCACATGTTGCCAGTCAGGGATTTCAAAGGGACACTGTTAGGGATAGGGTCGAAGGTTTGGAGAGATGTTAGTAGCTGGACTTCTTGTCGTTGTGGTACTCAAGTCTTGGTTGGTCTGATTCTTGCTTTTTGATGTTTTTTGGGGTGTTGTTCTGGAGGGGGGGTCAAAAAACAACAACTGGGCTGCAGATTTTGTTTCTGGGGGGGTAGAGACAACAACATCTCTTGAGGGGGGATCCAAAAAACAACAACAGGGCTACAGTTTTGGTCTCTAGGATGTGGTAGAGGTTCTAAGTAGAAGTTTTACAAAGGCTTAGCTGACCGGACTACCAGTACAGTACTAGCACTAGTACTAGTACTAGTGCTAGTACTAGTGCTGCTACTACTACTGCTACTACTACTACTACTACTACTCCTACGACCACTACAACAACGACTACTTTTAGTACTAGTACCACTAGTACTAGCAGTAGTACAAGCACTACCACTACTGGTAAAAGTATATGTTGGCTGGTTGTTTTCGGGGGGGTCAAAAAAACAACGACGGGCTGCAGATTTAGTTTCCACCCCCTTGAATGTTGTAACGGGGCTGCAGTTTTTGTTTGAACTTTGTTGTTGTTGTTGTTGCTGTTGCTGTTGCTGTCGTTGTCGATGTCGTTGTCGTTGCCGTTGTGGTTGTTGTGGTCGTTGTGGTTGTGGTTGTTGTGGTTGTTGTTGTGTCACCTCCTGTCTAGAAGGACAACCACAGTTGTTTGGATTTAATATACTCCCATCAGTGTGTTGCTTTTCTTTCTGTCGATGACTGTTAAAACAAATCAAGAATCACACCCAAATCCGCACAAGTCGTCGTGCTGAGCCGTCCTGAGTCGTCGTGACTTCACGAAAATGGATGGGTTTTCCCACCCAGAGGCGACCCGAACGAAAGGCCCCGAACCAACTGCTACATGTTCTTTCTTCAGTTCACCCTGGCGGACTGAGGGTCAAAACCCGAGCGAACTGAGGGTCCAATGAGCCCTTGGGCACCACATAGAACCGCCCAATTAGGCACACCACAGGTCAGTTGGAAATCATTTCACAAAAACCAACCTCTAGATTCCTCTGGTCGAAAACTTTGTTGGCCCTTCACATCGTCGCAGAATCTGAAGGGTCGGCAACCGCTGGTTGCTAAAGAGACCTGCTGATTGGGTTGGCTCATAATCCGAGGGCCCAACTCACCTCTGCTTTGATGGGAAAAGACCATACTTTGGGTGGTTAGTGATCCAAAAAGAGGCTCTAGGTTTGTACCACAACGAGGTTCTGGGTCTGTTCTTGAGGTCCTTCGAGACACCAAAATACCTCCCCCGGTGACCCACTCAATGCGCCTGAGCCGTAGCTTGCAAAGCAGCATGACGTCGCTTGGCCCGGTGGTTCAGGAAGCGGATCTTTTTGGAGAATCTCTTTGATGATTTTTTGTCACAAAAGATCACAAATAGATGCGTTTAACTGTTAGTCGGTCATTTGCAAGTGAAACATATTGAAACATACTGCACATCGATATCTATATATTATATATATTATATATATATATATTAGATATATTATGATATGATGCTTAACTCTTAAACATTCTGGACCTGTCAATACCCGTGTGCTTCAGTGAGGCCCAACACTTCGCAGCTTGTACTTCGTAGGTGATGATTCCGGCAGGGTGGCCGCATCAATTAGTTGCTTCATCAGAGTAGGTGGAGTCAGAGTCATGGCGCGTTTGGGCACACAGCACACCCTGAAAAGGCTCCTGGACCCGAATCAGAGATGGAACCCAAAACTTCTATCAACCCTTAAGAAAATGATGCTCCTCTCAACCTGGGGCTCAAAATGGTGATGTTCTTTTTGCTGCAATTCAAAGGTCGCTCACTTGGCTCATCTTGGGGCAACTACAGATGCATACATTTCTCCGTGTGGGGTTGCATTCCTGAGATAGACATATCTCTGAGGGTGCCTTGTAGTTTTCCTTCATCTGGTTCTTGAGCCTCGCGGAAGTGACTTGCATCTATATATATGTATATATATATATATGTGGGCACATACCTCATACTGACATAGTCACAAATAGTGATCCTTCAGTAAATAAAATTATGGAACAAAAAAGCAGGGAGGCGCTCTAATTGCATCACCTAATTACATCAAAGAGTCATCGAGTTGGTCCTCGTTGGCGCCCTTCGGCCCAACAAAAGTGACCACGTCACAAGGGTGTCGCCCAATGGAGTCGTTTGTTCGGGCGTTCAGAAGTGGCGAAGAGACATGGACCTGACACGTTCGTACAGGTCATTGGGCGAATCCAGGAATGTCCAGAAAAAGTATCACAATGTATAACGAAGAGTCCCCAGTTTCAGGGATTCACCAAGGAAGCAACATCCAAATGATTTGCCCAAAGCATTGGCTTACCCAAACTTCCATACCAATCAATGGAGGCTACCAGAATTTCAGTGCTTTCCGATGGAGAGCACACAGGGTTGTATTTTTTTGCTATTCCCAGGTTTGCCCAGGGCTTGGAAGAAGGAAGGAGGAACAAGATCCTAATGTAGGCAATGTAAACTCTGTTTGCGTTCCACCCACCCCATTTGAACCCGACATCCTCTTATGGAGGGTTTATTGATCAAGAGCCTACAGTCTACACTACTTATTACTTGGAACTCCCGAACTCTTGCCAGACTGATGCCATCTCGCCCTCGCCACCTCTCCCAACAAAGCACTCCGCCACCGTTCTTCGCTGTGCCACTCCGCATCGCGTGGGTCGCGCGTGGGACCCAGCGGACCAGGCGCCCCCGACGTCTTCCCATGTCGCGCAGGTCGACCCCTGCGCCCAGAGGCCGTTCTCGGAACTCCGTGCATGGAAAGAAGGATCCGGAACTCGCTGGGAGCCCTTGAATTTGTGCGACGCCCAAAATGGGTGGGGAATATAGAAAGAACCTGTGCGGTGGTCGTGTCCGAAAGATCTTCAGCCCCATCCTCTACTCGAACTGAAGCGACCACCAAGTGAGCTCAGTGCAGCTGCAGCCAGTGCGTCGTGATGATTTCTGCTTTTTGATGACGAAAGAGCTAGGAATGAACGGAGACTTCTTCTGCTCCCTCTCTCGCTCCACGTGGAGCCTGGAAAAAGGCTTCACTCTCATGAACTGTGGAGATCTCATCCATCCGGAGGTCTCATCCAAACATGGTTCATGGGTGAACCTCATCCACCTCCTGTCAGAGGTCAGAGCTGCCGAATCTCTGGTCGGAATCCACGTCTGGTGCTTGGAGCAACTGTAGGAACTGATGGCCTTGCTGGGCCACCTTCTATGTGGCTTTAACTGTGCGACCATCTGCGCACTGTGGAACCAGTCTGCCAGGAACTATACTAGACCTGTTTTTATGTTTTTCTTTGTTTCTAATAGCGATGGCCTCCAACCTATAAGCGATGGCCTCCACCTAGTAGCGATGGCCTCCAACCCAATAGCCTTGGCCTCCAACTTAATAGCGATGGCCTCCACCTAGTAGCAATGGCCTCCAGCCTAATAGCGATGGCCTCCAACCATATATAATATGCCTGGTCCAATGAAACGTCCTTGTGATCTTCTTCCAGTTTGTCCCAACTCACCCTGGTTTAATACACACTCGGAACTTCCGTTGATGAAGAGTTCCCATTAAGTCCACTGTCACAGGGCCCCAACAAAGCAATCACTTACTTGCATTTGCTTGTTCAGAACCAGGAAACTACAAAACATCTTCCCTAGAAGGGGAATTACCCATAGAGAACGTAACATCACCCTAAGTAGAACCAGGTTGAACCAGTTTTTCTGAACCACCAAAAGAGGCGGGTAAATCGGCCATCAGTGGCCTAGGGAGGTTTACAAAAAGAAACGAATGAATCGTGAAACCAATCATCATCACCCTTGACCTGCAGCTCAAGACATGCTTCTTGAACAGAACCGATGACCAGATCAAGAACGTCCCAAGCTCATAGAGAGTCTGACAAGTACCACCCTTTTTGAGCGAAAGAAACACCTGCAACAACCTGGGATAGCAGTTCCTAGGATACTTGGGACATTCTCAACCTCAGGTGGTGCAGAATGCCTCCTTCAACAGTAGAATTCATCAGCAAAATCCTGCGCGAGCTACCAGAAAGAACCGAACCCAGTCGGCGTGAAGCCCCGAGTTCGAAGCCACACGCGAGAAGGGCCAGACCTCATGGCACATGGGCCGTGCAGAAAGGCTGTGATGTGTTGACCTGGTGTGGGCCCATCGGTCCAAATGGATGGGGGTAATTGGGGGTACCCGGGTACAACCAAGAGCTCGGGGTACCACCAAGAGTCAATCATCCAACTGTTCCCGACCATCCGGTCGAAACCGTTCCATTCACCACAGCATCTTCCGACCAAGACTCGGCGGATAGCCATCCCACGAGCCTGGAACATGCGATGCCGTGAACGCGATCGATGTGTCCTGGCGGTCCGGAGGACGCTGGTCGACGTGCACCGAGGGGCCTTAGGCACCGGTTCGCACCGGCCTTTGGAGACATCTCTCGAGACACTGGGCCATCCGATGAACGTTGGAACTCCGTTTTGGTGGAAAGGAAGGCCAAGTTCGGTGGGCCTTTGTTGCCCCACTTTGACAATTGTGAGACATTGTTGGGTAGTTCCTTTGGTGTTTCGTATGTGGGATGCGAGATGACTAGAAACTGACCAAACCCAATGAACAACAAGGAAGAACCGTCAAAACCATAGTCTACCAGGAGTTTGGCTTACATCACCAAAAAAACATCAAGTAGGCATCTCTCCCACAAAGGGAAAAACAAAAATTCTACACCAAGTAAGGCCGAGGGAAATGGGGATGGAAGTTCAAGATCATGTTCGGTCCCACGCCAAGTCCGCTTGGCCTCTGCCGAAACTGATTTAAAACATGCAGCAATAATATATTCTTAGATGCCCGAAAAGTTTGGCAATGTCGGGTTGTCCCACTTGCGCATCTCAAATTGATGCTTTACTTAAACTCGGACACACCAGTCCAGTCACCTTTTTCCGCATCACCGTCGATGCTTGTCCGTCATGGTCGCTATTTGCTCTGCTTTGCAGGACGCTCGCTCACAAATATGGAGACGATGAAGCCTTCCTTCTAGGAATTAGGTGCCCCTCAACCGACCTGCAAACCAGACCCCCATTTGCTATGGAACCGACATAGGAAGCATACCAGCTGCCGGCTTGAACAGCCCAACTACCAAACTTGGAGGAGTCCGTCACTTTGGGCATAGAGGCACGGAAATGGCCATGGGAGCGCAAACAATCAACCGTGTCAAGCCAACCCACCCACACAAGCGTACACTTGCGACACCTCCTGCCAAAGGGTCCGGGGGGCATGATCCTCCCTGAAAACCTGCCCGAAAAGTTTCTCCAGGTCAATGTGACCACCGGGAAACCAAGACCGCTGGCTAGAGCCCTCCGCCCAAGCATGCAAGCACCTCAGACCCTTCTGGCCAGCCATCGAAAGTTCAACAGAAGTCTTGTGAAGCAGAGCAGCAAATCCAATGCCTACAGCCACTATCCACAGCCTCATCCTACAAACCTTGTTAGCGCGAAGCGGCCAAATCCGACTAAAGCCAAGGGCCTCAGCGTCATGGGGCAACAACACCAAGCAGGAGGATGTCACCAATTGCAAGCAAAAATCCCGGCTGAAGCGGTGCGACTTCTTCGCTGCAGATTGCCGGCAAAACCTCGAAGCAAATAGCACCCAAGCACATGGATCCTGCTTACCCAACGTCCAAGTCAGTCCCTTTGCCAGACGCCCCCTCTTCTAACACTTCCATCTAGGGTCCCCCGACCACATCCAGTCAAGACATGGTGAGCTTGCGCCATGCAAGTCACAGGCTCTACGGCACACAGCAGTGGCATGAAACCAATGCAACACCTGAATGCCAAGCTTCTGCAAAACTGACCGACGCAAAAGGAGCAAAAGAATGCGCACCTGGCGAATGCGAGCTTCAAGAACGAAGGTAAGGAATACCAAGGAGATCAGCATCATGCGCAATCTGCCATGATTGAGCACAGGCAAGCCGGTGCAGGACCTCACGGGGCGCTCGATCATCGACATCGATAAGGACAGCACAGTTAGACCGCATCCCTCAGGACAGTTCTCCAGACTCGAATGAGCTCGCGTGGCAGTCTTGACTGACCAGCCCGTGGAGATGGCTCTTGGTCGCGTCCGGAGCATTGAGGCCTGCTGGGGCCAACGTCATCTTCTAACATGGGGTCATCCACTACCAAGCTGAACCTGTTAGGACCAAGCATGGCACTCCGGAGAGGGCGTCTGTGCAAGCCAGGTGGGGGTCAAGTCACAGAGGACTTGCAAACTCAGTGACTTCTGAGGGAAGCGCCGTGGAAAAGCACGCCTTTCCCAGAGGATTGCTGACCAAACAAACCTCACCTGGAGCAAGGGCCCCCCACTGCCGACAGAACTTGATATGGACATCGACCTACGTGCCCCCATTCCCGATGAGAATACTGCATCTACGGAGCCGATGAACCATCGACGGCCGTGGCGCATGCAAAACAGAGTGCCTAGCACTACCTGCAGTATGTTGAGGAGACCAGTCTCAAGGCCCATGAAGCCCTGCTACCATCTGCTACCAAGCACCATCCAAGAACGAGCAGGGAGCTTGTGCCACTCTTCAAACAAAATCCTAGTTACCTAAATAAACATAGAGCCAGCCTTGCTTCTTTGGTATTGGTGCTTACTATGGTTACTGTGGTGATTACACCAAAAATTCTAGATAGACTGACTGGGTATGTTGTTGGAATCCTTGAAGACAACAGCTCTGGGCAACTACATGACCCCTACAAGGTTGCAGGAACCCAAGGGGTCAAAAAACAAACTCTGGTTGACTCTGTCTATGTATGACCTCCTTTATCTGTAGAGCGACTCTGTCTTGTTATCTTCCCGAGGCCTTGCGACATCTTGTGACGTCCCAACTGCCATCGGAAGTTGGTGTGTAAAAATGTGCTACACGAGTCACGACCTTCCGCCCTCGTTGCGCCCATGGTCTTGGTTTTGCAGCGCTGCCGTCCCCGTCCCCAAATCACCAGGGGCAACGGTCATGCGCGACCTCTTGAGCGTCAAAAGAATCCCGCCACACCCCTCAGGTTGCCATGGACGGTGAAGATCCCAGGCAACGACCAACGGGAAGGAAAATTGACCAGTCTACCCAGCCAGGACCAGGTTGTCTCCCTAAAAGACACACTCATGTTGGCTGGAATGATATCAGGACAGCGGTGGTGATGGTGGTGGCTGTAGTGGCTGTGGCGGTGGTGGTGGTGGTGGTGGTGGTGGTCATGGTCCTCATGGTGCTCATGGTGCTCATAGTGCTCCTGGTGGTTGTGGTGGTTGTGGTGGTGGCGGTGGCGGCGGCGGCGGTCGCAATGCAGAACAGGTAAAAAAATGAAACGATATGAGCGCTAGTATCCATTGCAGAACAAAAAAGGTGTAATTTCCACGGGTATTCATGATCAGTTTTGTTGGCTGAAAGAGTGAGTTCGGACACTTGATGAAATCGTCCATGGCAGCAGGGGCCAAAAGTGCAGAAAAAGACCTCTCTCAGGCAGAGAAGGCTGAGACACCAGGAAGCACTTGGTTCTGGTGCGCCTTCCCAAGGTTGAAATTGCTATCATATGTTCATATATGTTCATACGGAAATCCACCAAAGAAAGAAGTAAGTCCTTGTGATTTGAGCTAAGACCTCTGAATTGAGTGCATATATGTGTATTATATATATATATATCGGAGCTGCTTGAGCTGTTGCCTAGATATTCCGGGGAGGGCAGCCTCTGGCTAGATGCAGAGCGGGAGGATTCGCCGTCCGGGTCGTCCGGGGTCGTCAGGGTCGGCTCGGTTGAGCACACCACTGATCGAACTGAGCTTTTGTAATGGAACTCATATGATTTGGGGTCAAAGGGGCCCACAAAAGAACCTGCACTTGTGGACGGCTACCCTTCTGGCCCTTCTGACCGTATCACTTTTATCAGTCTGGTCGGATCTGGCCTTCTCTTCCCCTGCTGCGCGTTCGGGCGCTTCTCCCGTGCTCCGCCGGTCTGTCGTTTGGAAGGCCTTCCGTCTTATGCTTTCCACCCACGGCCGTCGTGATGGCTTGTCACCCGTGGCACCGATGTGAGTGCGCCAATGATGATCACCCGTTTGACCACCCGGATTTTTGTGGGTTCGGACGGCTTGTCACCCGTGACATCGACGTCCGGACAGCCACTTCAGAGGTCTCCGAGTTTGGAAGAACAAGGCACCAGAGCTTCAAAGCAACTATTTGGATGGATGTTCGTTCTTCAAATGCTTGGATTTGGCTCATGGAACGGGAAACGATACAAAATAGTCCCCATGAAGGGGATGACCCAGTTCGGAAAACTCAACATCACTAAAAAAAAAGAAAACCGGAATGATAATAATGTTGCAAATCCCTATATAAGTCTTCAGATTAACAACATGGGCGGACTTTGGACTATATAATGATGACCATGATGAATAACACTGGGGCCTGCAAAAATTGACCCGGTCCTGTACTCAACAAACCAAGTGGGCATGACTGCTTATGGTGGGCAATCATCCAAATTACCTGGAGCAGCTGGCTGTTTGGGGGAAACAAACAAGCAATCTACTGGATGAAAATCTCCTCATTTGGATTCAAACGTGCCCCCTAACCTCAAGGTCCTTTGAATGAGGAGTGAAGCTAAAACCCAACCAACAAAATGTCGAGAATCACGTCTTCTGTTACACAAATGACGCCATATGACCTAGCCAATTTCTTGAAAGAAACCCAGAACATGCGCTGCGATGCACAGGCTGTTCTCTGTCCCCATCACATCAATCAGTTCTAACCAGTCACCTGTCAAATTTTGATGCGTGCAGAAATAGCAGCATTCGGTCGCTTTGGGCGCAAAAAAATGCAGAAATAGCGTGGACACACCATGCACAACATCTCATGCCATGGGGCGCAGCAAAAATAACCACCACAGAGCCATGGGATCTAGTTTGACTCCCTGTGGCGAGGGCCCCAGCGAGTGAAAAAATGCTCACAGAAAAGACCTGCATTGCACCGCCATGAAGAGCCCCCAAAGCCAATTCATCCAAGGCAACGAATTTCCGCAAGAAATATCCCTCGTGGGTGTTGGGTTGGAGGGTTAAACCCTGGCATCTTATAGTGACATATGCTCTATAAAATAGGTAAACCGGGCTCAAATCTCTATAAAATGCAGGGGCTGGCACATATATCACATGCAAACCAGGTTTCAAACATCTGAATACAATCACTGTCATATACTCCTCATGTTATACAAAACATGCCCAGGGGATCAAGAAGCTGTGTGTTTCATGGAAGCTGGTTCCCCTGCCCGAACAACTATGATGTTCATTGAACAGGAACCCACCGGTCAAACAGGGTCCAACCGTTCGAAAGACTGCACTGAAGCAATACAACGGGTTTGGAAGATGAGGTTCCGTTACCAGGTGCTTGCGACACTTGTCATTGACTCATATTGAAGCAGTAAGAGGTCTTATGAAGATGCTTGTGAAGATGGCAAGATCAATCACCGGCTTGAAGTCAAAGCTATGTGCACGAGTGGTCTGCCGGCAATCGAGTGCTAGGATGCTCGGGGTCTAACACGACAAATCCGTGGCTCCTTGTTTGTTGAGAGAATCGCGCAAGCCTGGGCTACCCCATTCATCAGCAAGTGGTCTTTAACCGGCATCAAAACAAATCAAATAACATACATGGCATTACATGCCCATCTTTGCCAACCGAGCAAGGCATGTCCCTCCATATGACCACGGCTTCCATGTTGCTTCATCTTCTTGGCCAGTGGTTTATCGCCCCACAGGTCTGATCTGCCATGTGAGACAAAACTGGTTCTGCACAGGACCAGTGGACCAGGAAACATCTGTAAAGGGAAGACAGCAAAGGCAAACTGGATGTGAGTAATGGACAAAAAACATAATGTAAATATATAATGTATGTATGTGTATGTCTGTATGTATATATATATATGTGTGTGTGTATGAGTACTGGATAGTACTGGACAAAAATCTATGGTTATAGGAACTTGTTGGTCAATGTAAAGTCGGGATTAATCAACCTCCCCTAGTTAATCCGAGCCTACAAAGCCTCGGAAACTTGCCCAAATTAAAAAGTAGTATTGGTGGCTGAGTTCCCCCTCAATCATTTTGGGCACTAGAACCCCCCCCCTAGTTGATCCGAGCCCACAACCAAGACAATGTTCTTTACTACTACTACTACTACTACTACTACTACTACTACTACTACTACTA